GGCGGCTAAGGGTACAAATAGGGTGAGCGGAGAACTGGAGAACTGGGACTGGTCTGGGTGTTGGGGGGAGGTGGGGGATATGAGGACGATATTCTAAAATCTTTTCTCTTCTACAGTTGTGTTTGTACTTTTCTGTCTGTAGTCTTTGCTTCTCTTCGAACAATATGTCTGCCTTGTTGTCATGGTCCTTCTCACGTGACCAATTTTTTCTTTCCTTTTTAAAAATGTTTTTCCAGATACACGTGTAATTTGCTCTCTCATTTTTTGTTTTTTTGTTTGTTTGTTTTTACCTCTATCCCTAAATTAAGTGTTTTATCTATGATGTTTCTACACTACTTTCTGCGATTAAAATGTTTCGTTTTTATGGTTGGAAGTTAAAGATTGTTTGTAAATCAGCTGAGAGCCAAAAATAGAAATGTTGGTGGTTGGCAGGTGCTCAGGTGTGGATAACTCTTTCTTCACTATGCCTATATAACGTCAATCATCCTTGTCTCTCCTTCTTTTCTTTGTATGTAACTCTTCAGTAGCATCTTTCTTCGGCACATATATGACCTGTTTGTACTGAAAGTGCCACAATACTCTTCATCATCATTGCCTTTCTCACCCTGCACCAGGGTATAGGCCACGAACAAACGCCTTCCATTTTTCTCTATCCTGGGCTAGCCTCTTAATGATATTCAATGTCTTCCCACTTTTCTGTACATCAATTTCTGTGGTTCTTCTCCAGGTTCCACGCGGTCTTCCCCTTGATCTTTTACCCTGTGGATTTCAATCCAACACTTTCTTTGCTATGCAGCTGCCTGACTTCCTGAGAGTATGTCCAATCCATGGCCACCGCCTTCTTCCTACCTCATCTCTGACTGGGATCTGTCTTGTTTTCCTTAACACTTCCTCGTTGGTGACCCTGTCTGTCCATCTGATCCTCAGTAGCTTGCTATACCTATACTCTTAGTAAACCTAAAAACATGAAACTTCCAAACTGTGTTGTTGCAGGGCGGCATCGCGTTCATTGCCATCAAGGGTGTGCTGAAGATCTACTACAAGCAGCAGCAGTATTTACGGCAGGCCAACCGGGTGATCAAAGACTACGAGGAGGTAGGGGAGTCCTCGGCCACCGCCACGCCCACCAGCGAGGACGGAGCCGCCACCAACGAGGGGTAAAAATAAAACCATCGCGTCATCACCAACGCTGTCTGTATGTGTGTCATTGCTTGGGTTGCCAGACGAGGACTCAGCAGCCGTGTTCAGGTCTTTGGGATTTTTAGTGAGCAGCACAGGGGAAATCGTTCAAGTCATTTTGTTGTAACCAGTATGAAACAGAGGCAAGCCATTTTCAGCTGTCTGGGATGTTGTGCAAAAATCTAGGGGGGGCCTTTTACAGATTACCAATGTCTTTTTCATCAATGCTGTTTGAACTTAAGCTTGTCTTATCATAATTCTTATCTGTAAACTGCTGAAAAATGCCAAAAGATGGGCTTCTTTGATTGGCAATGAAGAAGTTTGAGTCAGTTTTTCTTTCTTTCTCTATACCGTGACTTAGATTTTCTCCAAACTGTGCCTGTCTGACTTCCTAACTTCATTCACCTACAATTTCAAATCGGAATGGTTGAACATATATTTTACCTAGTTGTTAGACTTGAAAAGATCTTTCATTTGCTACTCTTTTTCCTCTAGAGTAGAAATGGGACAATTGACTCTTTTTGTCATATTGCCAAATAAATAACCTTTTGACCCATTTTGATGGGGTTTCTCCTTCCACCAAAAGCCTCTGACTGCAAAGGCCTTGACAGGCAAATGTCAGTTTCTGCTAACAGCACAGTAAAAGTTATTGCTGAAGACACAGTTTAGAAATAATGGACTTAGCTGCTTGGTAAGATCATGATTTTTGGGGGAAATTTTGGTTATCGATTCTTTTTGTCTTTTATTGATTTGGAGTGACATAAACAGCACCAACTTTCAGATTATTCAGTGGGGGCTTTATATTATGAAACTTGTACTGAGGATATTAAGAGAGAGAGAGAGAGAGAGAAAGAGATAGAGAGATTATCTGTTTTGAGAAAAAGAGGCATTAGGAGATGTTTGTTTTTGTTTTTGTTTGGGATTGGTGTATTCAAAGCAAGGGGGAGATATGGCATATGATCAGTTCTGATAACGTCAAAAAGTTTTGGGGTCTTTTACTCATTTACTTTTCTTACGGCAAAAAGAAGCAGTACTTTAGGGAACTTGCTGCTTATAACAGCAGATATCATAAAGATATGGAAACAGTTTGTCACCCCATATGCTAGAGATATCTTAGAAGTTGTCACCTGATTGTAGATAGTTAACTGTGATTTGGTGGGTTTTTTAAAATTAGAAGTGTTTTCTTAGTGCTGGAGAAATTGTTCATGCGTCACTAGGAGCTGGACTAGGAAGATAAAGGTGATGGATTGTTGAGTGTGTTGTGACGAAAGGGGTTTTGGTTTTTTTACATTTCTTTGGTCAAAAAGTAGTTTGATTTGACACTTCAGTTTCAAAAGATTATTTTGTCACCATTTTGTTGTCGTGTTTTTTGTTTTGTTTTTTTTATCTTCATCTTTTCCAAAGCCAAAACAGTAAGTTCTTTGCCTGAGAGGAAATGTGTTTCTTTACTGGCAAAGTATCTGTATGTGTTGCTTTATATCTACATTATTTAACCTAACTTACCTTGCCATTACATTATTTACAATGCAACTAGGTTAATGCTATGGATGATGGAGCAAACTTAGTTGTATTGGTAGCCCATATTTTTTCTCTGTTCTTTCTCTAAAGGTCAGTTTTGCTTTATTTTCTTGTTCATTTTTTAAATGACAGTTGATTTCACTCAGAAGTAAGAATGTACGCTTTCGAAAAGGAGGAGAGGAGAAGTGATTTTTTTCTTTTCATGAGCTCCTTCCACAAACTTTATTTTGTATTACGTCACAAAGTCAACTTGTCAAAATTGCCTTGCTTTAGAGTCAATGTAGTTTGTATAATTACTTTTTACAATTCTTCTTCTGTAGCGTTTCACTTACCCCAGATTGGCCTTGGCAGGCAGAGAGAAGCAACAGTCCTTTTTTATCTGAACTATGACAATGGAGATGTTAAAGTTTTCTTTACTACTTTCTGTTGCTTGTTGAAAGTGGTAATGTTTTTTTCTACAGCCAAAAATTCCTTTCCCTACTGTTTCACTTTGAGGAAGAGAAAACCACAATCTCTCTTGTTGTCTTCTTTGTAAATCCATCCACTCGTGTTTTCTTGCACTTTTTGTTTCAGCTTTATTTGTGATACACGTATCAACTACAAGTAACATTTTAAAGTGGAGTTACTCTCCTGTGTCACTACTGGAGGGGAAGATTGTAGGCAGGGCTCAGCAAAAGATGTGTACACATGAGCTGAGATCCTTTTCTCTTGTTCGTATTCAGCTTTAAGACTCTTTAGTTGTATTCTCCCACCGGTTGTTTTTATTTTGAAAGAAGACTAAAAATATTTGCTGCTTACAAAACGGTAAACAAAATTTGTTTGTGTGTGTTTGATTCCAGAGAATTGAGTTGTGAACATTGCAAGGATAATTTATTGTCCTCAAATGTAAAGAAAAGTGGCTAAAATAGTTCTTAGATCGTATTGTGGATTTTACCACTTTGTGAGGGACATTATCATTTTCTATTTGTCCTTTGGATGACTGGAGGGGCATCCCTGGTAGAACCTATTGGTTTATTACTGTCTGTTTCACTTTTTCCCTTCTCACTGTAATTCTTTGTTATATCATTGTGTTTCTCTTTTTAACTCTCTACCAAATGAAGCTTTCTGCTTCCTCAAAGATTGCAGCTTGTGACCAAAGCGACTGGCTGTGAATGTCTTTCAGTTTTCAGTCTTCTAATAGCTCACATCTGTTGCTTCATTTTCTTTCAGTTTTCAGTGTTCATGATTTTTCTATTGTTTCTGAGGTCTCTGTATGATACGTTTTCCTTGGTTCATTTTAAGAATCAAAAGTTTTATGCTTTAATCAATCCTCTGGGACCTGCATAGTCCTCATACAGCTCTTAGTTCTGTCTTGGGTAGATATTGTTAACTTTCACCCCTAGATAGAATGCACTGGGTCAAGGTGTGCGGATGGGAGTGGTGAGTACCTCTGTGGGCTTTTCTTCTGTTTCCTTTGGTTATTTGGAACTACATGTGGTGAGGGTAGTATGCACTCATTTTTTTATGGGTGCTAATTTCTTTGTTTTTCTATATTCAATACTTTTGTTAAATATGCACCTTGTTATAAGGCTGATTTCAGGTCTTCATTCATTCAATGGAGAACTATTTGTGTAAAGATACCGGAATTACAAATTATTTTCGGAGGTTAACACTTTAGATTTCTTTTTGGGATCAAGATGCACTAAAGCGTACATGTACATTTGTATGTGCCTTTAACCAGTGAGAAAAGGATCAGTTCCAAGACATATTTTGTTACTATCATTATGGTTTATTTTCTGACACACTCTGAATGTATCAAATTCTCAGAGATTCAACATCACATGTGTTTGCTGTCGGAGAGATTGTAAAGTTTATGTAAGATAATACTACTGCCAACAAACTGAATTGGTACCTTCTTTGTGTGTGTTAACTTGGCGAACCTATGCTACTTTTAAGCCCTGTTAAGTTATTTTTAAAAAATTCTGTTTTGGAGTTTTGTTATGCTTAATCATGTCACTAAATCACACCGAGGGTCAGAGAACTTGATAAATCAAATTATATATCACACTTAGCAGAGTTCAAGGCTTTGTGGATTATGAACTGTGGCTGTTTTGCGGAAGGATTTTAATTAAATAAGAAAAAACACACGCAGGATTTTCAGGCTGAGGTTAAGTGATGTTTTTGGTTTAAATTATTGCAAGCCATGCATCTGTGTAAATGTCTCAAGAATATCACGTGACCTGCTGCTGAGAAAATGTGTTTTAGGCAACTTTATAAAGTGCTTCGAAAGAAGAGCTTGGATTGATAGCTCCTTGTAGTCCATAGAATATTAGGGGATTTTTGGAAATTTTTAACTGCTGTGTAAGACTGAAAACGGATGATCGTACATATAAAGATCATTTGTTCTCATATAGCTCATAAAACAGGACGAATTGTAAGACTGATGAGAATTTTGATCAAAAGGTACGGGATGGAGTTAAGGCAAAGAGTAACTGCTTTTTATGTCTCTTTGAGAGCCTGTGTCAAGATATGCAGAAAAGAACTCTATTCAGATTATGTACATAGTGTATTATCTTGCCCTGTTAGCACCTTTTTGCACTTGAGTGAAACTGTCTTTGGCTTTAAAATGCGAACCAATTTTTTTGTTTGTTCTTGTTTCTGAAAGAAATAAGCCTACTGGCTTTTGATCAGGTACGGTTTTGGGAAAACGCACATTTTTTTCTCTTTGTATGTTATGCTATAAATGGGAGTATTTTTTAGAGTGTGTGTGTGTGTGTGTGTGTATATGTGTTTGTATGGGATATGTGGGTGCGTGCGTTCATAGTTTTTTAGTTTTTACAGTGGTGTGAAAGAAAATACCTACTGTCGTGTGGGTCTGCGTTCTATTTGTTCCTATGGTAAACTCCATTACTAAGACTTTTTTTTCAGAGGACATCCTAAGACCATCACAATAAGCTGAATGGGATGGTTGTTGTTCAAGGATTCCTGTAAAAGGATAATTTACAGATAAAGCTGTGTTGATATTTATGGTTTCTTTCACAATACAGGATTTTTGTTTCTTTGATTTCTTTGATAACTTTGGCTGAGGTCTTTATAAGTGTATGCAAAACTGTCCATCTAATTTCTAAAGTGGGTGAAAGCCATGCCATTTCTTGGGCCGCTCATGTCATGGAGAGCGTCTATGACTGTGCTATTCATCGTTGGGGAAAAATAATGTTGTATATTTTTATTTGTGCAGATCTTGTACATACCAGAATGAAACAATTAAACTTGTTGATCTACTTGCAACAAAATATGAGGGCTTTGTTTATATTTTGAATTTGTGTTTGGTTTTTGTTTTGTTTTTTAGGGGGGGGGGGGTTATTCTGTATATTCTATATCAACTGCTAAGTGGCAGACTCCGTCATGTGTCACTTTTCAAAATGAGTCTTGCCCTGAGCAGTCGGTATGTTTAGGGCAGTTATTGAATTGAGGTCTTTGCCTTATAAACAAATTCTTGACTGTTTTATAGATAGTTAAGAAGATCAGCATAGTACGTTTCATGATGCTGTTTGGAGCTCAAGAGTTCGAGCCAAACAGGTTTAAGAAACGTTGTTGCCTTTCTCAGAAAATATTATCTGAGTGGATGGTTAGCAGCCGCTCTATATATATCTAGTGCGGTTTTGCTCCTTTTTTCTTATCAAACATATATCATCATCCCTAACTCATATCATCATCCCTAACTCATATCATCATCCCTAACTCATATCATCATCCCTAACTCTCCTCCTCCTTTTTTTGTATGTTACTCTCTAGTAGCACTTCTTATCTTCAGAACTTATTATGACCTATCTGTGTTTTAAGCGCCGTAAAACTTGTAGTAGGCCTACTGGTATAACTAAACTTACTCAGGTGGAACATGGTACATGTGAGGGTCTGTCCCCCAGTCGATGTTGTAAGAATATTCTAGATGAGGAATTACAAATTATGTTCAATCAGTCTATGAATGAAAAATTGGCGGTCTGAGACAATTAGTTGAATAAATTTAACAGCAGTTTTATTTTGTCTCGGGGTGTTGGGGTCTAACATTGCTGAGTTTTCAAGATATAGCAAAGGTACAAATAAGCAAAATTTGAAAGATTTGGACTGGTTTTCATTTTGACACCTTCACTCTTAATTAATGAAAATTCACTAATAATTTATTGGAGGCTTTGAAACATCTGACCTTTCTGTTAGATGCAAAACTTTTCCGAAGGAGTAAAATTATGGATCTCACTGATTTTACAGAACTAGTGAGAATTTGGTTTGTTTTTCATACATTTTTTCTCCGTCTATTCATGCCCCTTCTCCTTATCAGCGTTTTCCCACGGCAATAACACGAGTCCTGTTCTAAGCCATCAGAGATGTTTGCCTCCCTCTGGATTGGAGTACAAATGGCCGTGGTTCAAATCCTCCACATGGCTTACGTGGACTACGGGTTTGCCAGAAGAATTGACATCGTGTGTGGTTTGGAGATCAACATAAATAACTAAGCGAAGGTCCAGCCTCTAAAATGTACGTAGTATAGAGAAGGGCGTGAAAGTACGGAGTAAAACTGGACCAGTTGAGTTGGGCCAGCTGAAGTTGGGACGTGCTGGAAAGTGGACCGGGATCCCCAGAGAGATGTTACTGGTGGTTGGATGTTCGGCGTTTCTCTCTCTTTTTTTTCTCCGTTGTTCCCTTGACAGTGAGGGAGTTTGGAGGGATTTTGAGTGTGTGTGTGTGTGTGTGTTT